AATATACGTGAAGAAATATTTTGATTATTCTAATATAGACTACAAACTAATATGATGATTAAGAAGAATTGTTGATGAAAGTTTCTCTGTCAAGGTCTTCCACTTCAAGATCAATGAACGTAGAAGATAATTAACACACACAGAGAGAGAGAGAGAAGAGAGTGAGATAGAAATAATTTGTTTCTTTCTTTGTGTGAGTCTCTGGTTAGAGAGTGATATATTCTTTTGTAATCTTTTCTTTTGTGATTAGTGAAGTTCTCTGCTGTTCTCGCCCATGGACGTAGGTCATACTGACCGAACCACGTTAAATCCTTGAAGCCCCCCGCTGCAACAAACTGGTATCAGAGCCTACTTAAAGTACGTGTATCTTCTTATCGTATGTTCCGTGACTGCCACTAAAAGTGGATCCTCCACATCAGAAAATAAGTTACATTAACATTAACTCTTTAAAGACACTGGGCACTATTCACGGGTACGATAATATTCAAAAGTACTATTACTATTCATACGTACAGTTACTATTTAAAAGTACGACTACTGAAAGTACCCTAATACCACTAGGAAAGAACCCTAGAGGAGGGTGAATATGGTTTATGCTAATCTAATCCGATTTATGCCAAATTAAAAACTAATTAACAAATATATCCTAGTAAGAATAATATATTACAAATATATGTGCAAGGATATATAAATAACACAAGGGTAAGCAAAATAGTGGATGAAATAAACAAGATGCAATAGGCGATATAAGCAACGAGCACAAGTATAAATGAACGCCAATGCAACTCAAACACAATCAAATGATCACGAAGTTCGGACCTTCCGTCCTACATCTCCGCTCCCCACTTCCGGGTAGAAATCCACTATCACACCGTGTTTTCAACGATCACCCGAAAACGTTTATATCACACAATATCGGTTTTCAACACTCACCGATCAACGTCCACAATCTCACAATGTAACTACACTAACTACCACCTCAAGTGTTGGTCTCTAGCCCGTGTCTCCCTTAAGTGTTAGGAATTACAACCTCTCTCTAGGCATTATCACCTACCCACTCCTCTTGGGACGACCCTGTCTCTCACAACACACTCCTCTTGGTGCACTAGTGTATTACAAAGTGAACCTCACAATTTAGGCACTCAACAAATGATTGTTCTCTAAATAAGGTGAGAACTCAATTAAGCACAATTCAAAGTTACAATCTCTCACAACCCTAATTATACTATGTATGAAATACTATAAGCTCAAGTGAGTGTGTGTAACAATGTGATTTAATAAAACAAAATCAAACTAAACTCAATATAGATTCTAGCTTATGGAAATGAAAATCAAACATAAAAAATAGCTAGATTGAGTTTAGAAAACTTCTCTAGATGACAAGAGAGAGAAGGAGAAGAGTTGAATGCTCAAACACCAATAGATGATCTCCCTAAGCTCTTGTGAAAGTTTCTTCACAAACAAACTCTTAAACAAACTTAAATAAAACTTAAACACCCTTAAACTTGTTTTAAATAATTCTCTTGATTCTTAAAATAGAACTGGATACAAGGGGGTATTTATAGGAAACCCCAAAGATAAAAAAAACCCCAGCAAAAAGATCAAAAAACCAAAACATGACAAAAGCTGAAAAAACTAGCCGTTATGCCATCAGTCGACTGACGGCTTCCATCAGTCTACTGATGAGCTGACCGTTAGAGGTATTTTCTAGCTCATCAGTTGACTGACGGACCTTATCAGTCGACTGATGACCTCATCAGTTGACTGGTCAGTCGATCAAAATAAAACAAAATTTTTTTGTTATTCCAGACGTTTTCTTCAGTCGACTGAACATATTCATCAGTCGACTGATAACATTGTAGCAGCCTGATTTGAATAGTAAAACTGATTTTTAAAGTACCTTAAATAAATTCCAAAAAATATAAAACTTTAGGAAATCATTGTAAACATGTAAATGAAAATGTTACAAAAAGAATTTTTGGAATTACACTTCTCAATAGTGAAAACTCTTCATTTTTCAAATATGTCCAAAAACATAAAAACTAAACATACATGTTTTTATCATTTGACATAAACACAATATTAAAACTTTTGTAAAATAATTTTATAGACTTAATGAATTGATATAAACTGATATTAAAGTCTATAAACTAATAAAACAAGAACACAATATTTTTCCAAATACAACAGAATATGAAACATATAAAAGTATATATGAAGATATATATTGTTTCATATCTATCTAGCTAAACCAAAACATATATGTATATATATAACTATATATATATATATACAAAAACCAAAATGTGTATGTGTGTATATAATTGAGCTTAAAGTACTAACACACATAATATAAAACCTAAACTAAATTACCCAAGCTTGATGAAGGTCTTCAATAAGCTCGACTTGGTAAACTTGCGGATGAAGCTTGAACTTGGATCTTCAACTTGAATTGTAAGGCTTCAACCACTATTCCGCCAACATCCATTGGATATGATCATGAATGCTCGATTTCATCTATCCTTCAACTTTGTTGTTTGTCTAGAATACCTAATAAGAAATACAAACACTAGACAAACAACATTAGGAATTGTTTGTAATCGTCAAAACAAGATTAGAAGATGTAGGCTCATAACATGATACCTAACAATTATTGTTCATAATTACAGTTACTGTTCTAGTGGGCTTCAAGATATCTTTTGTAAAATACAAAGTGGAGAAATTCGATTGGAGAAACAACTTCAGTTTGTAAAGAGTAAAAATGAGGGTTCTCCTAGTACAACAACGACTGTTTAAAGTCTTATCCAGAAAGGATAAGTTGCCGGAATCTATGCCTGATGATGAGAAAGAAGAGCTGGAGATGAAGGCGCATATTGCCATACAACTCTGTTTGGCCGATGAGGTGCTGCGGGAGGTTGTAAATAAAGATACCGCCGCTGGCTTGTGGCTCAAGTTGAAAAGTTTGTACATGACGAAATCTCTAATGAACAAGCTATACTTGAAGCAACGCCTCTTCACCATTCACATAAAGGAATGTATGTGAAATAAAGACCACTTAGATGAACTTAACACTATTCTTATGAATTTAAAGAATATTGATGTTAAAATCGACGAAGAAGATCAAGTACTCATCTTGTTATGTTCATTACCTCATTCCTATAAAATTTTTATCAATAGCATGTTATACGGTAAAGATACACTTTCTTTGGAGGATGTCAAATTAGCTTTACATTCAAAAGAGTTAAGGCAGAAAGTATTTGTCGTAGGTGGAGAGGATCAAGTTGAAGTCTCGTTCGTGGTCGTCCTGAAAAGGGTGTTGGTGGTAGAGGCAAGTCTAGAAATATGTCTAGATCAAAGTCCAGGCCAAGAAAAAAATATTGAATGTTATTACTGTCACAAATATGGGCATATAAAACCTAATTGTCCAGCGTTCAAAGCAAATGGTAATTCATAGTCAAAGTTTGGGGAGGTGAAACCTTCAGTTTCCACTGTAACTGAATAGTCTTCTAGTTCACATGAAATTCTTTCAATTAGTGTTAATACTCACAAGATGAGTGAGTTCTTGATTCGAGTTGTTCCTATCATATGTGTCCGCATAGTGATTGGTTTGTCACATATCAGTCTATCAATGGTGGGAATGTCTTGTTGAGAAATAACATGTCTTACAAGACTGTTAGTATCAGATCAATTAAGATTAGAATCCATGATGGTATTGTTAGAATATTGAACAATGTCTGTTATATTCCAGAGTTAAAAAAGAACCTCATTTCTTTAGGTACCATTGACTCAAATGGTTTTAAGTTTTTGGCTGAAAGTGGAGTTTTGAGAGTTAGTAAAGGCTCTCTTGTTGTGATGAAAGAAAAGAAGGTAAATACCCTCTATATCCTTGAAGGCAGTACAATAACAAGTGCTGCAACAATGTCATCCTCAGAGAATTTAGATTTAGACACTACACATCTATGACATATGCGGTTAGGGCATATGAGTGAGAGAGGACTGGATGTATTGAGCAAACAAGATTTGCTTTGTGGTCAGAAAATTAATAAGCTAGACTTTTGTGAGCATTGTGTTTTCGGCAAACACCATAGAGTATCCTTTAGTACCAGTGTCCATAGAACCAAGGGTACTTTAGATTATATCCATTCAGATGTTTAGGGTCCCTCTCAGGTTTCATCGAAAGGTGGAGCTCGTTTTCTGCTAACATTGATTGATGATTATTCCAGAAAAGTTTGGGCGTATCCTTTGAAGCATAGAGTGATGTGTTTGCAACCTTCAAGCAATGAAAAGTTATGATTGAGAAGCAAACAAGAAAGAAAATAAAGCGCCTCAGAATCGACAATGGCATGGAGTTTTGTTCTACAGAGTTTGATTAGTTCTGCAAGACTGAAGGTATTGTACTCCATCATACAGTTCGGCATACACCATAGAAAAATAGAGTTGTAGAAAGGATGAACAAAACACTTTTAGAGAGAGCTCGATGCATGCTCTCTAATGTATAATTTATTATTATTTGGGAGGATGAGGAGGAGGAAGGCAATGGGTAATTTAGGATTTATAATTTATTATTTAATATATTGTATACATATTGAATGTATCATTGTTTTTTGGATTTAGAAGAAAATTCACATAGTTCTACTTGTTTATAAGTTCAGTTGAAACTAGTCGGGTTTATAAATAAATCAAAGTGAAGCATTGGGTCCAAAGACAAAAATCCCTTTTTAGAGTTGACTTAAAACTAGAAGCTCTGCTTTTTGTTCTTTGCTCTTTGCTCTTTTTTTTTTCTTTTTTTCCCTCAAGGCATGGAAGATATTTTTTTTCCATAAATAAAACCAACAATAACATTGATATTCTTGAAGAAACATCATATTTTCAGTCTATGAGTTGGCGTGAACTATTCATAAAATAAGACAGCAAATAAAAGACTTCTTAAAAGGAGGAGTACATAAGAAGCAATATCAAATAAAAGACTTCTGATGGTGAGAGCTTGCCTAAAAGCAATATCAAATAAAAGACTTCTTACAGCAAATAAAAGCAATTTTACAAACAATTCAAAATACTTTCTTGACATAAGAAGCAAACAACTTGGAATACATATACACTTGGCCTTTTGAAACCTTAATTAGTAATTCAAATCATCATAGCCTTAAACTCATCAAAGCTAAGAACACCATCACCATTACCATCAAACCTACAAATCATACCCATACACTCCTCTATTGCCCTTGGTGTCCCCAACCTACTTAACATCCTCTTCAAACTATTTGCAGTGATGTATCCCTCATCCTTCATCACATACATCTCAAACGCCTCCCTCAACTCCATCTCTTCTCCCTCTGTCTCTCTTCTGTCGCCCACAAATTTAGCGAATTCATTGATATCCAATAACCCATCACCATTTAAATCAGTAGACTCAACCACAGCCTCAGCTTCCTCAGGACTCAATTCCTGGCTTATGCTCCTCAGTAGGCTTCGGAGCTCTGACGGCGAGAGCTTGCCATCGCCGTTGGCATCGAAACGGTTGAAGATTTGCTCGAACTTGGTTAAGCATGAAGCCATTGGGAACAAGATGGAGCTCCTTTAAGCTTGGAAGAGATAATGGAATTTGTTGGGAGTAATAGGGGAAGAGGAGAGTTGTGTTGGATGGAGAAGGGGTGTCCTCCAAGGTTTATATAGAGAAAAGGTGGAGAAGGATATTATTATACGTAATCTTTGAATCATTATTTAGGAAGGATCGGCATTTGTCAATTGATGGAGACTTCGGCGTACGAAGAAGGGGACCCAATGGAATGGTCTATTTGGGGAAAAATAGTATTTAATAACGCCTACCAAAGATTGATGAAAGTGATGTTTAGAGTTTGCAAGGACTTGAAAAGTTTGAGGCATGTATGCGTTGAAGAAAAACATACTTGTATAAAAGAGTGTTTTCTGCAATCAGTGAAAAATGTTTCTATCTATTGTGTTATAAACTAACTCGAGTCAGGTGCAATCAAAATTACTCCCATTAGATATAAGTGTTGTTTGCTGGAAGTGGAAAATACATAGCACACGATCTAATAATTGTATGCCTACAGAATTGCGCTCTAACTTTAGGTTGTTATCCACGGATTCTAATTTATATGGAGAATACTGAATACGTAACACCCAAACCTCTAATTGTATATGCTTATATATTGAGATGATCCATTTTCTGGTTTATATATTTACATAGTACTCAAAACTAGGATCATCTAAACTTAAAAGATTTAGATGATTGTAGCCTGATTTCGAGGGCCCATTTGAATTCATGAAAAAGATAACTAATTTAAAAATCCATAAAAAATATTAAAGAAGAAAATACTATTGATAAAAAAAGTAATATTTCTAGGATTTAAAATCCTATGCTGAAGCAGGATACATAACATATTCTGGATATCCTGGCAGAACATATTAAAACACGTTAAAAAACACTCTATCATTAAAGAAACAAATGAGTTAATTTTGAATTGAAACCAAATTCATTTCTTAGTCAAGAAAAATTCCTATTTTACTACTAAAAATAGGCAAATGCGAAAAAAAGAGGATATTGTTGGGAAATTTTAGTCTCCCCGCGTACTACGATCTCCGCAATTTGGAAGCCAACCCACAATCAATAAGATATAAAACAAATACAATCAAGAAGAAAGAACACCGAAATTTACGTGGTTCGGTCGACCAACTTCGACCTACGTCCACGGGACAACAATACGAGAAATTCACTATGTATCAAGGAGAACTACAAGAGGACCACTCAACTCTCATCTCTCAATCTCTCATTCTTACATACATAATAAACTCTCATATTCTCTCCAAAGCTGTCTCCTTAAAATCTTTTGAACGGACAAAGACTGTGAAACCCTTTCCCAATGATGTAATCTGTTGCACGGACAAAGATTATGAAACTCTCGCCTCTCGCACAATATTTATAAATTAGGCTATGCCCTCTTGCTAACTCTAAATTACAAGAATATTGGCTCCCTCTCTTCTCTCTGGTTTTTCCTCGAATAATAGAAGAATATATACAGGGAAACCAAAACCCTATCTCTAACCTAACTTCCTAATTAGAATATGATTCAAACTCCTAATCATGATGAGACCCAATCTCCTAATCATGATAGACCTCTAACCCTATCTAATTCTCATAAAGTTATATAAAGAATCAAAAACATAATCCCAATAGATACCGCGAAAAAAAAATTTCAAGAATTTGAGCTACACAAAGCGAGCTTTTGGGTTGATGCGGTTGATTCCTTCTCATCGAATATGCGAAAAAAAATTATGTTATATGTTGTGCGCGGAAGCCAAATTGATGTGCTTCGAAGAACCAAACCAAACGCCAAGAGAAGGTCAAACAATGCAAAATAATGGCACAAACACAAACACACCAATTTTACGTGGTTCGGCAAGTTGTCTACGTCCACGGGGCAAGAAGGGGATAGGGTTTTCATTAATAGAGAAGAAGAGTAGAAACTAAGATTACAAATCACTCAAACTCACCAATTAATCTCACCAACAAAGCTCTAATTCTCTCAAACAAAACCCTAACCAATAGCTCAGAAAGATCTCTCTTTTACGTGCTCCAAGTATCCCAATCAAAAGCTCCAAGAAACCTAAAACGTGTTTCTATTTATAACAAAACAAAAACCCAAACAGATTAGGAAACAGAAACTCAAGCCCAAAAACCCGATCTAGTCGACCGGCATGAAGCCCCGGTCGACCGACCAGAGTGCTAAAAACCAATGCATGTAGCGTGCACGTTTCTGGTCGACCGGCCTTGCCTCGCGATCGACCGAACAACACCAAAAGCGTTTCCTGCTTTAAAAAAATCTAAACTTCGTCGCCGTGTCGCCATTTCTACAATTCTCCACCTCGGTAAAGTTTTTTCAAAACTGAACTGACACCAATGCCAACCAAACGACTCACTTATTGCGTCCAGTATGAAGTAAAACAAATCCACGACAATGGACTCAATCCATAACAAGTCGAGACTCAAATAAAAATGTGAGCATTATCTAAACATCGTATCAACTCACCAAACCGGCTGCATCATAAAATGACTGCCTACGTATCCTCTTGCTTAAGGAATCAAGCCTTCATGTAGGCCCCCAAATGACCTCCAAAGGCCCTCAATCAACTAGAAGAGTTCTCAACCCTTCACTGTTTGGGTTAAAAGTTGATTTCTTCATTGCCATTGAACTTGTTACAATCATTTATCGATTACAAGTTCACAAAATAGAATAGTTAATCTTTTTATAAGATCTCCTTACACAATGAAAAATAAAGATTATAAATTTGTCAAACAACACACAGATCCTATTTATTAGTCTCTATTTGTGTGGGATCTTTTCCTGTGCTGGGGTTTATCCGTGGACCGCCTCGGATCGGATCCGATTGACATAATGATGATCAAAGCTCTTACTTCACTAAGAAAGTAATCGCTGAAGTAAATGATCTCAACCAAGCGAGATCACTATTCTTCTTGAGATCAAATGCAAGCTTGATCTCAAGGAATGGGGGGACAGGCCTCGGATCCTTCGAATAGCTCCCTCTTTATGCTGGAGTTTGCCAAGATCTCGCTAGCCTCTCTCAAATTCATGGCTCCCTTTTAACCTCCTTTTATGAGGATGCTAGGGGTGTATTTATAGGCTTTAAATGCTATGTTTATGGATATGAATGTCGTGTTTGTGGATAGGGTCGAGGAACAACCGTTATTATCCGTTTAGGTGGGTTTTCGGTTATGTAACAGCTTCCACACATTTATTATGGATAAACTCACATGTTTATGGATGATCCCAAGGAGTTCTAGAAGCTAATCTTATCAGAAAACACGTAAAAAAAATATTAAAGAAGAAAATACTATTAAAGAAGAAAATAACTAATTTACAAATCCATAAAAAAATATTAAAGAAGAAAATAATATTGATCAAAAAAGTAATATTTCTAAGATTTAAAATCCTATTCTGAAACAGGATGCATAACATATTCTGGATATCCTGGCAGAACATATTAAAACACGTAAAAAAAACACTCTATTATTGAAGAAACGAATGAGTTAAATTTGAATTGAAACCAAATTCATTTCTTAGTCAAGAAAGCTCCTATTTTACTACTAAAAACACGTAAAAGTGAAAAAAGAGGATACTGTTGGGAAATTTTAGTCTCTCCGCATACTACGATATCCGCAACTTGAAAGCCAACCCATAATTAATTAAATATAAAACAAGTACAATCAAGAAGAAAGAATATCGAGATTTACGTGATTCGGTCGACCAACTTCGACCTACATCCACGGGGCAACATTAATACGAGAAATCCACTATGTATCAGGGAGAACTACAAGAGGAACCACTCAACTCTCATCTCTTAATCTCTCAACCTCACGTACATAATCAACTCTCATATTCTCTCCAAAGCCCTCTCCTTATAATCTTTTGAACAGACAAAGACTTGGAAACTCTCTCCCAATAATATAATCTTTTACAAGGGCAAAAGCTACGAAACCCTCGCCTCTTGCACAATATTCTTGAGTCAAGCACGCCCTCTGCTAACCCTAAATTACAAGACTATTGGCTCTCTCTCCTCTCCTTAGTTTTTCCTCCAATAATAGAAGAATATATATATATAGAAACCAAAACTCTATCTCTAGCCTAACTTCCTAATAAGAATAGAATTTAAACTTCTAACCATGATGAGACCCAATCTCCTAATCATGATAGGTCTCTAACCCTATCTAATTCTCATGAAGTTATACAAAGAATTAAAGACATAATCCCAACATATACCACAAAAAATTTTTCAAGAATTTGAGCGACACAAAGCGAGCTTTGGGTTGATGCGGTTGATTCCTTCTCATCGAATATGCGAAAAAAATTATGTTTTATGTTTGAAAAACTTGCGGTGAAGATAAGATTCTTTCTGCACAGGCAAATCATTGACTTTCTCTAGATCCCTGTTTAGACTTCTGAGGATCCAACGTCTCCATGAACTCATCAGCCACTCATACTTCCATCACACGGAATTGTCGTTCACATGCGACGACTTAATCAAGTGGCTCATTGAATGCGTTGCTATACCTTCAGGAAGGGATGATACGAGTCAAAGTCGGACTTTTTTATACCTTCACAACTGAAAATGCCGGCGAAAAAGTACTGTTGAAACATTTACATTCCCATTACCAATCAAGCTACAAGAGTTCAAATCAACCAACTAGTCAACAAGATTGGGCATTCTAGAAGAAGCTTATAATTCAATGCAAGAGTTGGCATGAATATTTCGTAGCATAAGGTCTAAGTAAGAATCAATTGCAAGAAAGAGAAAGGATCTGTACTAGCTAGCAATTCAACTCATGAATTTATTACATTTTAAGATAAAGACAAACAACTAATTCAGAATATACATACAATCTTCCAAACTCTTAACAACTTCAAATCATCATAACCTTAAACTCATCAAAGCTAAGCACACCATCACCATTACCATCAAACCTACATATCATGCTCATACACTCGTCTATTGCCTTTGATGTCCCCAGCCTACTCAGCATCCTCTTCAGGCTCTTGGCCGTGATATGTCCCTCTTCCTTCATCACGAACATCTCATATGCCTCTCTCAACTCCCTCTCTTCTTCCTCTGTCTCTCTTTTGTCGCCCACAAATTTAGCGAATTCATTGATATCTAATAATCCATCACCATCGGAGTCGCTGGACTCAACCACAGCCTCAGCTTCCTCCAGACTCAATTCTTGGCTTATGCTCCTCAACAAGCATTGGAGCTCCGATGGTGAGAGCTTGCCGTCACCATTGGCATCGAAACGGGTGAAGATTTGTTCGAAATTGGCTAAGTATGAAGCCATAACTTACACTTAGTTAATGATTGTTAAGAATTCTAATGAAGAGAAATGTTGAAAGTTTTTGAGAAGATGAGATGATTGATGCTTAAGAGGTTTGTTTATATAGAGAAGGATACGAGCGTGTCCAGGGGAAAGGGTCATATATGGGCGTTTGTTCAAATTTGGACTTTGTCTGTTTGATGCAATTCGTTAAAGAATTAATATACTAAAAGAGATGAAGGCGATGTTTAGAGTAAATAAGGGTTCGAGGTTTGTAACACGGAAGGATTAGAGCGTGGTCTTCTCAAAAGACAATAACTAAATATAAATAAAAATGATAGGAGGCAGATTTGTTTCGTATGTAGCTCTCCTCTCAGCCACATGGCTCATTAATGATTATAACATTCTCTTAAGGCAACTCTTGAAAAATGGGGACCAAAATTAGTCCTAAACTACTTTTCTCCTAAATCGGACTACAACTAAGTTAAGGGGTAGTTCAATAAAGAACATTTAAAAGGCTTTAGTTTAAAAAAGAACTATTACAAATTTTTTATTTTCACTTTTATTTTTACTAGTATACCATACGTGCGTTGCACATGATGCATATTAAGAAACTGCATGAGTTTAAATATTTGTACACCAAGTAATTTTTACTCACCAAATTATGATTCCCACATAAATATTTAAAACCTACTTTGTTAAAACTCAAAATTAACAAACGCCTGAATAAAATAACAAGTCCAAATAAAAATGAAAGAAGAACATTAATTTTCTATTAAAAACTAAAAACATTAACACTACAGACTTAATGTCAAAGTTAAATGATACCACCACTTGACAAAAGCATGCAAGTAATTGATGACTGAACTAATCAGTGAACCTCACATAAACTCATTGCAAATAACACCGAATCAAATTAGCTGTATATTCTTTACTATAAAAATAGAAAATTCTTATTGGAAAAGTGATCAATAAAGCTATTGCCAACTTGCAGGTTGATGGCTTCCCAATTGAAGAAAAAAGCAAATTACCAGAAAAACTTTCATTGTCAATATCCTTGACATAATAGTTTAAATAAACATAATTAAGCGTATTCATCATAATGCTATAAATGATGTATCACTTCTCACTTTCTATTTTAATATTTTTATTATTCATGAACTTTCTTTTGTTCATATCTTTTTTCAGGCTTGTCATACTCTTTCGCTTCAGTGAAATGTCCTTTGAATCTTCATCTTCATCACATTCTATTGGTTCAAAATTGTTTGGGCTGCATATTTCTTGAGCGGTTATTCTTCCTTCAATTCTTTTCTCTTCATCTTTCCTGTTCATTTTTACCAAGAAAAGATATTCTTTGTCGCAACAGCTCATCATTTTCTGGTACATAGGTGATAAGTGCTCCTGCATTATATTTATGGCCATTTTTTCCATTTTAATAATTTACTAATTTTATGGAAAAAAGCTTTTATATATTTGAAATAAATAATGTTATATTACCTTTCCTTCTTCATCAAATGAATCTACATATTCTTCAGCTGAACAACCAGTTAGAAACCGAGCTTCATCGAAAAGTGTAACATATGTCTTGTCGATATGATCTTTAACTTCCAATCGCATAAGGTACCTTGATGTGAAAATTTAATGTTATTTTTATTTTTTTTATAAATAAAATTTAAAACTTACTTTATTTTCCATTCCGCATCTTCAGTATTGCAATTGTTGCAGTTAGCTATGCTGTCTTCAACAAAAACCTTTCTTTGAAAACTCTTGCATGCGGTGTAACAAGGTGATTCTGGATTGATTATTGCTGATATCTCCGCTTTAAAGTAGGAATAAATATTCTAAAAAATATCAATCAAGTTATAAATTCAAAATTTATTATTATTTATCTTGTTAATATCTTAACCAATATAATAAAATACCAGTTTCGTAGCTGTTGATGATGTGATGATATCACCAAGCATAACCTTCTTAGACCTTCTCATTAGCTTCGATGGGGTCTGCTGCATCAGTTTCTCATAATTTTTCCCCTACCCTGTCATCCTATATTTAAGACATGTATTATTTTTTTTTCAAAATTATATTAGGAAGGATTTTATTTGCATAAGCTTTACCATTCTTTAAGAGTGTGTGCTTCAGTAATGTTTGGGTCTATCAAAAATATTGTTGCAGGCTTTGATTTACCATTCTTTAAGAGTGTGTGCTTCAGTAATGTTTGGGTCTATCAAAAATATTGTTGCAGGCTTTGATGATAGTTGCGGAACTCCTGTATTCATTATATGGTTACTTTTTGGTTATATAAATTTTTAAAAACAATTAAATTGAAAAGTCTTACCCATATATCTATTTGCAGTAACGTTAATTATTGCTATAATTGGTTTTTGTTTTTTCTTGTCTTCGAATACTTGACCTTCTTTCTCTATATGCTCTCCCCATAATGTTAATACCAATGGATCCATCCTGTGTCAATTAAAAAAATTGTTAAATGGATATGTTAGTATTTTAATATTTGTTATTGAAAAATTATTTCTTATTTAAAAACACTTACTCTTCATTCATTATTGTGATCTCCCTTCTAACTGATGTATTTGTTGTGTACAACGGTCTCACTGAAGTGATGAATCCTAACACATCTGTATAAAGATTAAAATTTTAGTGCTTAAAAATTTAATTTTGTATTACAAATGCTATGTTATTAAGATTAAAAATTTAGCATACCGAAAAATATATTTTCATTATCTGTCTTTGTCACCTCTTCGAATCGCTTGAATGAAAATGGTAGGGTACCGATATTGATTTTATTTTCGGATACTGTAATTTTTGTGTTTTGTCCAAAAGCAAGCTCAAAATTCGGATTCACCGATGCATATTTCCTATTTATAGGCCTGGCTATACCATTCTTGATGATAATGATATTGCTGAGATGGATGTATTCCTCAAATGTTGCTATTGTAGCATTGAATAGCATGACTTGAATCTTTGTTCCCTGTATTTATTTGTTGTTACTTAAACTTTAAAATAAATTACCAGTTAAGTAAAAATTTAATGAAATTTAAATGTAATAATAAATATTTCATTTGAAGAGTTGTACTTACCTCTTCGTCAATCACAATAATCTTTTGAACCTGACCTGAACCTTTTGACGATGAGAATTGCTCCAAGGACACTTTTAGTATAAGCACTTTGATTGAGAAAGATTCTTGATATAACTTCAAATCCTTAATGAAGCTGTATTCACCTTTACGTTGTCTTTCAGCAGTCATCTTCCCTGTAACCATAGTAAATATTAGAAATATCAAATAAAGTAATTTTTACAAATTATAATAATGATATTTATTTTTTTCACCATCTTCTTATTACAAATTATAATAATGTTTTTTCTAACCTTTCTCTGGATAGAACTTCTTTGTAGACGATATTTTTGGTGTATGTATATCCTTTCTTTTGTTTTCTTTCGCCTTTAACCAGCACTCTTGTATTGTTTGTTGATACACCACGAGATAAAGCGACGTATAATTGTCCATGTGAAAAAACATGGTGTGGTAAATAAATACCCACTGTGCGAATTGTTTGTCCCTGTGCTTTGTTTATTGTCATTGCGAAGCATAACCTTATAGGAAATTGTTTTCGTTGAAATTTGAAAGGGTAATTTTCATTTTCAGCTGGTGATAATGGTATCCTTGGAATCATGACTTCTTGACCCGCATGATGACTTTTTGTTATTTCTGCTTTAATAACATTTTTATCAAATTCTTTGCAAACCATTCTAGTTCCATTGCAAAGTCCATTTGATGGGTCTAGATTTCTAAGCAACATTATCGGGCAATTCTGCTTCAGCTTTAGTTTGTGCGGTGGAAGACCATTAGGCATCAACTTGTTTAAAAATTCTTCTTGGTAGTAGTTATTTGGATCATCAATAGCCTTGTCAAAACTATGGAAAATAATCTCATCACCAGGAAATTTATCCAAAAGCTTGTCATTGAGCTCATCTACATATTCATTTTTTGTCGCAAGAATAGCTCGTTCTGTCATATATTCAGCTGAATTTGCATTTTGTTCAATTAATGGAAATACTTGGTTTAACAATTCAACTTCCGATTGTCCATTTTTTGCTATCTTCAATCACAATACTTTCAGGAAGTCTAATAGTTCATCTTTAGTTGTTTTTTCTGTTCCATTTCCGACACGCAGCAAGAATTTACTGAATTCTTCATCATTTTTTGCTCGCATGTTTATTTTTAATGTTATCTTTTCCATCTTCTCCCACAAATAAGACTTTACTAAGCTGGCATTAACTGTTTGGCTCATTGTTCCTCTTGGAATAACTGGCAACACTTGACGAAAATCTCCTCCAAAAACTACTACTTTACCACCAAACAATTCTTTTGTACTCAATAGGTTTTGCATTGTACGATCTACACTTTCAATTGCTACTCTTTTTACCATAGGTGCTTCATCCCAAATAATTAGTGCTGCTTTTCTAATCAAATGTGCAGTACCTTCCTGTTTAGATATATTGCAAACTGTTGTCTCAGTGGCATTAATATGTATCTTAAAACGTGAATGTGATATGCGCCCACCAGGTAGTAAAGATGCCGCTACTCCTGAAGTTGCGGTTGCTATTGCAATCATTCCTTTTGATCTGACATTGGCAAATATAGTTTTGTACAATAATGTTTTTCCCGTCCCTCCAGGACCATCTATGAAAAAAACTCCTCCCTTATTCATATTAACTCTGTCCATTATTATTTCAAAAGCTTTTCTTTGATATTCGTTTAATTTGTACTTACCATCTATATCTTCCTGACAGACTTCAACATCTATCTCATCCTGTATGATTCGTAGATTGCATGATGGATTATCTATTTCATCCTCTTTAAATTTAGGTAAATCAAAATCTTGTATTTTCTTCCCCATGCTCTCTAGGAAATAATTAACTCCCTCTAATGCTCATGCAGTTTGTTCTACATCTGTCGCTATAGATCTTTGAACGAAATCTTCAGACATTGCTGGTCTATATGCTATAGATCTTTGAACGAAATCTTCAGACATTGCTGGTCTATATCTCTCCCATAATAATCTGACATTTGTTGGTTGACAATAAACCAGAATAGTTGCAAATAATCTTCTTAATGCGTATGGCATCTTGAAATTTACTGCTTCATCCAAGCATTCGACTATACTATCGTCGGATTCTAAGAGTCCTCTTTTCTGTACAGACTCTTTAAAAGTCTTCACAAGTAATCCATCAACAGTGAGTAAGTCATCCCAAGAAGTAGGACCTTTAACATGATTCAATAAAAGCCTTAAATAATATCTCTCCCCCTCTATAGGATTTGCTGAATTTATTCGTCCAACCACGACCTTTTTCCCCCTCTCATTCCAACATTTATTTCCTACTACCCACACATAATGTTCAGGAAATTCTTTGTACAGCAACGTCCTTGCTTTTTGATCTGAAGCACATTTTCTAAAGAATTCTGTAAGCGTTGTCTTAGCTGTGTGCTCCCACGTCATAATATTTCGAAGATCTTCATTATTCCAATAATAAACATTTTTCTTATTTGGAAGATGTAATTGGAGGTTAATAACAGGGGGTTGCATATCATTCATCTTAAATTCAAAAATCCGTCAAATTGCTTCTTGTGCTGATACCCATCTCGCATCTTGGTATTGTTTGATCTCATCTACTGGATGTGTTGCCTCATTTGACGCTATGCACACAGCTACTTTGTCATGCCCTTTGTATATATATTTATAAAGATATTTTACAGCCTTAAGTCCAGAGCATACTTCAACATTGACATGACAATTATACCTACTTAATAGGTAAGGATTGTATGGAACAATCCATTGATTGTCTAAAATTGTGTTACGTACAAAAATTTTCTTTCCATCATTCCTTCGCATATATATTGGATAACCATCACCCCCTAAACTTGTCTTTGAACAAAAAGAACGTGGGTAGTGATATTTACATTTTCCGTCAACCATGCATGGACTTGTTTTCCTCAACGATCCACAAGGGCTATGAACCATATATATGTTTTACCACCTTCACATGCAACATTGGAAATAGTGATTGATCTGGTAATTCTGCCGATATAAATTTATCAAAATGATCTGGGCTCATTAGCTTATATTCATGTTTCAAAATTAATAATATATGAGCATGTGGAAGTCCCCTTTTCTGAAATTCAATGACATAGACACGTGCAACTACTTTACCAAATACTTCTTTCTTAAATAGCTGGTCTTTAAGATACTCTATTTTCCCTCTAAAAACTCTAGAAGAAAGATCTGGTCTATCCTGTGTTGTTTGTCCATTTAGAAGCTCATTCCTTATTTCATCCCAATCTGGATTACATGTTATTGTAATGAAGAGATCCGGTTTACCGTAACGCCTCATATCTCTTGGTCCTCCAATGAAAGATGGTGGTAAAACAACTCTATGTCCAACTTGATCTCCACGTGTTTCCCCAGCAGTAACACTATCAACAATTCCTTGATACAATTCTGCTCTTATATTTGATTGTTGTTTTCTAAAGAAATCAAGTCGTGTTGTCTCTAACTTCACATACATGTCCACAGCAAACTGTTGAAATAGTCGTCCAGCAAGTAGCAGAATTGATTTTATTGGATTCCGAATTTGAAGCTTGTAGCAATAATACTCCCTACAAGAAACATATTGCCCATTTTATTGGATTCCGAATTTGAAGCTTGTAGCAATAATACTCCCTACAAGAAACATATTGCCCTCCTTATCTTTCGATATCTGTTATAAGCTTAAAATTTTTTATAAATTGATAAGATATGATATATTTTACTTATGAGATTAAAATTTGGCGTTGGTTTTACCTTGTGATTCCTCCTCATTAAGCTGTCTAGCTAAATCCAATGTCTGACTTTCTTCGGTCATATTTAATTGTATTCTTTCGTTCCGACATCTGTAGATAAACTGCTGCCACCCACTCTCACTATTTGGAAATAAAATCAGATATTGTAGAGGATCATAACAACTATAATAATGTTTGACTTGATGCCTTTGTCCAAAGTGCTCTTGTATTATAATCTCTCTATTTAACGGTTCATTTGGATTGTATCCTTCTATCCAAATTGCTGCCACTTGCTCTGCTGTTGGAGAGTTATAAATCCTTTGATCAAGATTGGTGTTCTTAGATATACAGATTTGTAATTCTCTCAACGTTGGTACATCTTTAAGCCTCCGTAGAATTTTCGCATAAGGATTGTCTTCTAGGATTTTCATTATAGTCTTCATTGTATTTTCTGATAATTTCCCTTCTTGTAAAACATTCATCCTATTTTGCAATTCATTATCTGTGTCATAAAAATATAACTGGAAGAAGCGAGGTCTATCATTTTGTGGTATCAATCCAGGCAAACTATGGTAAATCTGACCTTGCGCTTTAAAAGTGTATATTCCATCCCTTGACGATGCTAAGTTTTTATCAAGTGCTACCCCAAATGAGGTGAATGAGAAAACACTGTTGTATGCTCTAATGTTTCTCCTAAACTCAACACCCTCATTACAATCAGATGTTAGCAAGTTATATAATTCATCTGGGATACAAGGTTCCACAAGTACTGTTTCTCCATTATTACAGCAAAAAGATGAGCTCTCATATTCAAATTTCATTACTCCACAATGGATGCAACTTGCTATCTTTCCAAGCTTGTGTAGTTCTGAACAAGACGGCCTTGATATATTTGTTCCTATACGATTGTAATATGTTATTAGTTAATTTTGTTTATTGTAGAAACTTAAATTATTATATTTATAAACTTATTAAAACTCACTGTTTCATTCAACTTGGTAATTGGATGCTCGTTCTAGCCAACGTGCACTTCTTTTCATTGATTGATCTTCTGCATTTGGACTACTATCCATAGTCCTCTTTATTCTCTTATTTCGACACATCCTTCCAATATAAGCTTCTCTTTCCTTAGTAGTTAATGCATTGTAATAATTTTTCCTCTTCATTTTCTTTGATGCTGTTGATAAATTTATATGAATATATTAGAATTATTTGTTATTGATTATCTGGAAGATGCATTAGAAAAATTAAATTTGTTCGACTAACCTTCATTTGGTTCCATTTGTTTTTCCAATTGTTTTTCACGCAAACTTGTGAGAATATTATTTGAACTGCGAAAGAATTGAACATTAATTTATTTTTCATATTAATCTAGTACATACATATAATAAACTTAAAATTTAAATTTTAAATGTTTTGAATTCATTTATTATGTGTGAAATTTCATAATGTAGTTAAATTCAATTAGTTAACATAGTAATTGCACACTAATAAAACTAATGTTATAATTAATATACGAATAATATAAAGCATTACTTTTGAAAAGGAAATGTACCTTGTTTTCCTTGTTGTAATTGTTGTTTGATCTTAATCTTGCATTCTGACAAAAATATCAAAAATAAAAAGTTACTACAACCATATATGAAAATAAATTTCTTTGGTTTAATTATTATTACGAGGCATATTGTTGTTAGGCGTCAAATATCTTGCAGTTCATTATCCCATACTTTATTAATATCTGCTGAATCTTAAATGTTGTGTAATTTTGATTATTAAAAAGTCAACCATGGAAGCATATCAGAAACTAAATCCTACACTCGGTTGTGGAAACCCGTAGGAAATGGTAGTTTGTATGGCGAAGGATGTCAACAATGACTGATAAACAACCATTTATTTAACATTAATTTACATAAAGTTTTAATATGATACTCAATGTTGGTTTTAATAATCAAACATAAGGGATGGATAGTATCATACAATAACATGTTTCACTTGAATAAAATAATCAAGTAAGATGAATTGATAAGCTGCTTTATTGTCATATGATATTGGGCTAGGAATAAAATATTCCACTTGAATAAAATAATTAAGTAAAGTGAAAAGGTTGAGCTGCGCCTTAAGTAAGTAACATCAACATAAATATGAAAGTATGAATTAATAAAGATATGGAAATATATAATTCAAAGAAGGCATAATTAGATTATGAATGGATGGGATCGATTCAAGTAATTAATAGTAATTAATAGTCAATTGATAAGCATATCAGAAACTGATGGAATTCTGAACGTCGAAATAATTTAGAGACAGGAAGAGGGAGAGGGGCAGGGGTAATCAAGGATGACGGAGGTAATAAAGGTATTTGGGCGTTTTCAAAGAGAGAGGGAGAGGGGAAGGGGAGAGGTCGTGTCGGTGTTGAGAAACGGCAGAAAAAGAGAGATGAAGAGGCGGTTGCGAATGGGGTTTTCAAAGAGAGAGGGAGAGGGGAAGGGGAGAGGTCGTGTCGGTGTTGAGAAACAGCAGAAGAAGAGATAAGAAGAGGCGGTTGCGAAGGGGATAAAAAATGGGAAAGTGTAGTATAGATTATTATAGATTATAATAATAGTTATATTGGATGGGATATAATTAGAATTACAAAATTTGAAGGGGGTAATTTGGGTATACAAAAGTTTTGATAATGGTTTTCTCTTGTATAAGTAGTATAGATTTATTTTTATTTTTTTATTATTTATTTATTTATTTATTGACTTAGGAAAAACTAGGCGTATTTTGACCTAATTTTTTCAAACGAAGGAAAGCTCAAATAGGGCCACTGATGATATTTTTTTTTGAAAAGGTCCACAGATGATATTGGTCCCATTTTAGAGAGTTGTCAAACACACCATAAAAGGTTCATTTTCTCTCTCTTAATTTTAAAAATTAATTTGGCTTCGTAAGGGAACATCAAATCTTGGAGAGCTAGATGGTGTGGTAGTAGAAATAAGGTTTTTGTCATGATGCCCCAAAATCTTCTAGGTTGCCAAATTGTCATCTTATGGTGGCTTATCCTTCCGCTGCTGTTCCATAGGTAGTTAAGTGTAGGTTTTGATTGTGGGACTCGCTATGAATTCAATACGGAATTGATAGGATCCAGTCATGAGAAGTGACTGGATACAATGCCAAGATACTCACTAGGATAAGGGGCTTATTGATAAAGGCACAATGGAACGGGCCCAGCGGGAAGGTGGGCAGATTTTGTTGTAAAGGATTTTGGCTAATAAGAAATACATGTATGTTGTGCGGCGGTGCAGCGGATTCCACAAAGTTGCTGAGAGAGAAGGCACACACAGAATCAAATCAAAAATAACAACACAAACTCAAAACAGGAGATATACGTGGTTCAACAAGTTGCCTACGTCCACGGGGCAAGAAGGGGAGGGGCTTCCACTATTAGAGAGGAGAACACAAAATAGAGATTACAAATCACTCACAAACCCTCAAATTAATCTCTCAAACAAAGCTCTCAACTCTCACCAATTTGCTCTCATAAGAAAGCTCAAAATCACCCCTTATCCCTCTTAATTCAGAACAAATTCTAACCAATACAAAACCCTAAAATCGTGTTTCAATATATATCAAAACACAAACTAAATCAGAACAGGAAACAAAGCCTAGGTCCAAACCCGACAGGCGGCCGATCGTCGAAATCGTCACGGTCAACCGACCAGAAAGACAGAAACCAAAAATCAATTATAGGGTTTGGTGGTCGACCGCGGTGGTCGATCGGTCAGAATGCAGAAACACACCCTGTACTCGAGCATGTTTCCGGTCGACCGCCGAAGTCATCGCGTTTCTACAATTCTACAGAGTCTTAGCATCAATAACACGAAGATTGATGTTCCGAAGTTCGACGACAGATTAATTTCGGATTGTAGAGGTGTCAGGTGATGGATGCCTTGGATGCATAGAATTTGGAGGAGACTCTTGAGTTACAAGAGAAACCCAAAGACATGGGGGACAAGGTTTGGAAGAAGATGAATAGTAGGGCTTGTGGAGTTATTCAGTCATGCTTGACGTCGAATCTTATTTATGACGTAATGAACGAGACGTCAGCGAAGAGAATGTGGGAAACACTCAATAAGAAGTATCTGACGAAGAGCATTGAGAATCGGCTTCACTTGAAGAAGAGGTTTTACCAATTCAAGATGAAGAGGGAAGTTTCCATTCGGGAGCATGTTAACAACTTCACGAAGCTAATTATGGATATGGTCAATGTAGATATCTTGGTTGAGGATGAAGACAAGGCGATGCTACTATTGTGTTCGTTGCCGGAGGATGATTTTGGTACGTTTGTTCTCACTATGATAAATAGAATAACTACGGTTAGCTACAAGGAGGTGACCTCAGCTTTGGTGAATTATGAGTTGATGAAGAGTAATAACGAACCCTCCGAGAAGGCATCAGGAGATGCATTAGCAGTTCGAGGACGTGGTCCAAACCGTCGTCTAGGTGATCGTTCAAGATCGAAGTCAAGAGGTGGCCATAGAAATATTGGTAGGAATCAATGTCACTTTTGCAAAGAAGAAGGACATTGGAAGAACGACTGCCCAAAGTTGCAAAGAAGAAGGACATTGGAAGAACGACAGATTAATTTTGGATTGTAGAGGTGTCAGGTGATGGATGCCTTGGATGCACAGAATTTGGAGGAGACTCTTGAGTTACAAGAGAAACCCAAAGACATGGAGGACAAGGTTTGGAAGAAGATGAATAGTAGGGCTTGTGGAGTTATTCGGTCATGCTTGACGCCAGATCTTATTTATGACGTAATGAACGAGACGTCGATGAAGAGAATGTGGGAAACACTCAATGAGAAATATCTTACGAAGAGAATTAAGAATCGACTTCACTTGAAGAAGAGGTTTTACCAATTCAAGATGAAGAGGAGAGTTTTCATCAGGGAGCATGTCAACAATTTCACGAAGCTACTTTCAGATATGGCCAATGTGGATATCATGGTTGAGGATGAAGACAAAGTGATATTACTTTTGTGTTCATTGCCCGAGGATGATTACGGTACGTTCGTTCTCACTATGATCAATGGAAGAACCACTGTTAGCTATATGGAGGTGACCTTAGCTTTGGTGAATTATGAGTTGAGGAAGAGTGATGGTGAACCCTTCGAGAAGGCATCAGGAGATGCACTAGCAGTTCGAGGCCGTAATTCAAACCGCTATCAGGTCAACCGCTCAAAATCAAAGAATAGAGGTGCACATAAGAGTGTTGGTAGAAATCAATATCGGTATTGTAAAGAAGAAGGACATTGGAAGATTGACTGCCCAAAGTGGAAGAAAAAAATCTGGGAAAAACAAAGGAAAAGTTGTACAAGTTTCAGAAGTGAATGTTGCAAAAGCTATTGATGAATATTCAAAGTCAGATTCTTCGGGCTATTCGTGTCCTGTACTACCGTCGGTTTGCTATACCGACTCTACGGAGTGGATGTTGGATTCAAGAGCCATATATCATATATGCCCTAGGAGGAATTGATTCTCTAGCTTTGAGGAGCTGGAAAGAGGGGATGTCGTGCTTATGAGAAATGACCACATATGCCCTATTGGTGATATTGGTTCAGTCCGGATTAGGATGCATGACGGAGTGGTGAGGGAATTGAAAGAAGTGAGGTTCGTGGTGCAATTGACGAAGAACATCATTTCTCTTGGTACTTTAGAGGTAGCTGGCTAACGGGTGACCTTAGAGGATGCTACAACGAAGGTCATGAAGGATTCTATGGTGGTGATGCGAGGAGTCAGGGAAAACTTCCTATACTACTTGAAGGGCAAGACAATTACAGGGGGTCTGACAGCTTCTATTACTATAGAGGAGGACACTACCACATTATGACACATGAGATTAGGACACACAGGAGATATGTCCCTACAGTCATTAGCGAAACGGGGGCTATTGAAAGGTGCTGATACCTGCAAGATGGAGCTGTGTGAGCATTGTGTACTTGGGAAGAAGACTAGAGTAAAGTTTGGCACCGCTATTCACAGCACCCAAGGTACATTAGATTACATTCACACAGATGTGTGAGTTCCTTCCAAGAACACATCACTTGGTGGGACCAACTATTTTGTCACTTTCATTGATGACTATTACAGGAGGAATTGGGTATACCCTATGAAGCATAAATATGAGGTCCTGAATATTTTTGTGGAGTGGAAAAAAAAAGTGGAACTGTAGACAGGTAGAAAGGTAAAGACTCTACATTCAGATAATGGTGGAAAGTATAAGAGTGTACCGTTTCTGCAGTTTTGTCGGGATCACAGCTTTAGGCGACACTTCACAGTTCGAGAGACACCGCAACAGAATGGGGTGACTGAGAGATTGAACCGTACATTGCTGGAGAAGGTGCGATGTATGATGACGCAGAGTTGATTGCCTAGATCCTTTTGGACCGAGACGTTGGTTTATGCGAGCCATCTCGTGAATAGGTTACCTAGATCCTTTTGAGATGATCCCTTTTCTGTCATTTAT